CTGCTGCTGCTGCTGCTGCTGCTGCTGCTGGGGGCGGGAGAGCCCCGCGCCCCCGAAGAGACCGAAGGGGACGGCAGCTCGGAAGCTGCGGGGGGGCTCCGGCATGACGGCGACGGGAGCCGTCTCCGCACGCTGCTGCTGCTGCTGCTGTTGCTGCTGCTTGCACAGCTGCTGCTGCCGCCGCCGCTGCTGCTGCTGCTAACAGGCCCCGGAGTCACTTGGCCCCCTCTTGGACTCTCTGGAGGGTTACTGTCCATTGCAGCAGCTGCTGCTGCAAAAGGAAAGAGATGGTGCTTCTCATTCAAGCCCCTGCTGCTGCTGCTGCTCCTGCTGCAGCTGCAGATACACTTGAGCTCAGCTTCCTCTGCTGCTGCAGCAGCAGCAGCAGCCGCAGTGCTTGCCGGTGTCTATTTCAGATGCGCGAGCTTTGCCCGTTGCTTCAGCTGCTGCAGCTGTAGCTTTCGCCGCTGCTGCTGCTGTTGTTCCTGCCGCAGCTGTTGCTGCTGCTGTTGCTGCTGCTGCTCCCTGCAGCTACCCATGCGGAGGTAATTAACCTTCGCCAAATACCCCCTAAGGGCCTCGTTAAATGAATTTGACTTATAAAAGCTCAAGACAATAGTTGATATGCTTCGTAAAGCATCAGAAACTGCAGCAGCAGCAGCTGCTGCTGCTGCTGCAGCGGTAGGCCGCAAGTTGGCTCAGCTGCTGCTGCAGCCGCTCCTCAGCAGGCAGCGAATCTTTACTATTTTCGTTTGTTTATAAAATTTAAATAATGCAAAAAAGAAGGAAAGGCAATTATTGCTGCTTTCCAAACAAAGACAGAGCAGTACAGCTGGCGAATAGCAGCAGCAGCAACACAGCTCAGTGGACCGCTGCAGCGACCGTGTCGGCGTCAAAACGAGAACGAAAAAACAACTAATTGAATTTGAATTTAAAAAAGAAATTCAAAATTAAAGAAATAATTCATTTGTCCTCCGCGGTGACGCGAGCGGCCGGCGGCCGCTCGCGCGTTCGTGGGGTGTATGTACACCTCAGCTGCAGCAAGCCGAGTTGCCATTTCTGCCATCTTTCAAATTTAATTGAAATGCATTTCTCTCTTTTTGCAGCAGCAGATAATTCCTTACTGCTGCATTCCTGTGTACGTACACCGCAGTTGCAGCGGCAGCTAGACACACAAAGCCAAAGCCGAAAGAAAGGAAAGAGAAACAAAAGATTCCGCAAACAGAGCCTTCCAGCAGTCTTAGATCAGCAGCAGCAGCAGCAGCAGCTTCTGCTGCTGCTGGTGCTTTTGCTGCTGCTGTGCCACTCCCGAGGGAACATTTCTGCATGCCTACTGGGGTGTACATACACCAAAAAACACCCACAGTGAACGGAACTTTTATTTTCTGAAATGAAACATTTCCATTTCTGATTGTAAAGATGAGTGAAGCAGAAAAACCCAACGACGCAGCAAAGTTCCTCGCGAGGGCCTTTAGAAGCAGCAAAGTAGTGCAAAGTTGTGCGCTGGCTCCCACTGCATTTGGCATTCAAATGAAACAAGTTGAAATAATTTAAAAAAACCAAGACGGATTCTGAAAGCCAAAAGCTTTTCACTTTCTTGTTAAGAAGTCTTTGATTTAAATTTCCAAAAAATAAATCATTTGACGGCGACGAAGCGAAAATTTGCAAACAAGCGAGACAAGTAGTGCGGTGTACGTACACCGGAACCCTGCATTTCTAAATGGCGATTTTTTTGCAGTTTTGCATGCAGCTTTGCATGCAGCATTGCATGCAGTTCTGCATGCATCTGGAAATGCAGTTGTTCTCAATTTTAAAAGTCAAAAGCGCCGACCTTCCCGACTTTCAACTTGTTTTCTTGCTGATGGAGCGCATGCAAAGAAATGCACTTTTGTTAGTCTTGTTCGAAGATATTTGCGCATGCAAAGCCCCTCTATATTAATAGATTTGAAGGTGGAAATATAAATGAAATTATAAATGCAGAAATGTTTGTTTGTACGTACACCTCACTGTTTATACACCAACGCATGCAGATAAAGCACAAATAAGCTGCTGGGCGTGAATGCATGCATGCATTTAATTAAACAAGTGCACAAATAGATGTAAATCATTCATGTTTGTGTTTTAAATGGATTTCTTCCGTGTCTTTTTAAACAAAAACACCTCCAGAGAAACACACATGTAAATCTGCTGGTCTTCTGGGGTGTACATACACCGCCTTGGCTCCAAGTCCAGCTCAAGCGAAAGACTATTACTAAAATAAACACTTTTAAAAGAGCCAACAGCGCCAGATTGGAAATTATTAGAAATTAAAAAAGATCTAAAGACGAACAAAGCAAGAGATGGCAACAACGGTAAAGAGCGAGTTGTTTACAATCTAGCCAGAAGCAGCTGCTGCGGCAGTAGAAGTGCAACAGCAGCATCATTGCAACAGCAGCAGCAGTGGCAGCAGCAGCAATTTTTCACGTTATTTTCTTTGGGCTGTTATGCGTAAATGAGATTCAGAAGTAATTACTAAAGGAATCGGGGACTCAGGAAAAATTTGCATTTTTAAAAGTTGCATTTCAGCTTAAAGGGAATATTTATTCAAAACGTCTGTGCACATTCGCCTTTAAGTGCTGCGCTGCTGCTGCTGCAGCAAAACTAGCAGCAGCTGCGTCAAGTGCTGCAGCAGCAGCAGCAGCAAAACGGTTGCGTTTGCTTCCCACAAAAATCAAAAAGTAAAGCTACGAGGACTTTCATCCCTGAGGTGTACCAGACAGCTCGCGGGGCCCCTCTTTAGGGGCGCCATTGAGGTGTACATAAACCTCAACCACTTTCCGCAAACTTCGTCTGCACAAACCTTTCTAAACATTAAAAGAATAAATTATCCAAAACGGTGCATGCACTCTACAAAAATGCTAAAAGGCGGAGACAGACGCAACAGCTGCAGCAGCAGCTGCTGCAACAGCTGCAGCTGCAACAGCCGCAGCCGCAGCTGCTGCCGCAACAGCTAAAACAGCGGCAGCTGCAGCAGCAGCCGCTGCTGCAAAAGCTGCAGCTGCAACAGCTGCAGCAGCAGCAGCTGCTGCTGCTGGCTAGATGCTTCACAACTCGCTGTGAGTTGTTAAAAGCTGCTACCAAATGTTGCTTCTCTTGCTTTTGTTTCATTTGACTTTCAAATCCGGAGCAATTGCTCTTATGTATTTATTTATTTATTTATTTTTTTAAATTAATTTTACTTTTTTATATTTTTGGACTTTCTACTTGCGCCCTTATGTTGTGCTCCCCGAGGCGGCCAATTATTTGCTCCAGGCGACTCAGACCGCCAGAATGCCTTCGAAGCAAACAGCAGCAGCAGCAGCAGCAGATAAAGCGGACAGCAGCAGCAGCAGCAGATGAAGCCGGCAGCAGCAGCAGCAGGAAGGAGAGTTAACAAAGGAAGGGGCAGCAGCAGCAGGCGAAGAAAGCAGCAGCTGCAGCAGCACCAGATGAAGGAAGCAGCAGTAGCAGGATCAGGTGAAGGAAACAGCAACAGCAGCAGCAGATGAAGAACACAGCAGTAGCAGCGGTGACAAATAAAAAAGCAGCAGCTGCTGCTGCTGCAGCTGATGAAGGAAACGGCAGCAGCAGCAGCAGCAGACGAAGGAAGCAACAAAAGCAGCACCAGCTGTCGTAAAAAAAGAAAACATTGGCAGCGCCCGCAGCAACAAAAGGAAATAGCCGCAGCAGCAGCAACTAAAGGAAACAGCAGCAGCAGCAGCAGCAAACACTTAAAGGCAAAAACCAAAGCTATTTATAGTATATATCACAGATATTATATACACATGAACACTTATTTGCTAGCAAAGGCGAATACGGAGAAAACGGCGCTAGCCCAAGAAGGCCACACGCTGCTGCTGCTGCAGCTGCTGCTGCTGCAGCAGCTGCTGCTGCTGCTGCTGCAGCTGCAGCAGCAGCAGCAGCTGCTGCTGCAGATAAGACGTACCGGAAGGAAACCTTTGCTGCGCCAGTGCACTCATTGGTAATGGGGTCAGCGCTGACGTGAATTTTCAAAGAAGGACATTTCGATCCTGCTGCTGCAGCACCGCTGCTGCTGCTGCTGCTGCTGCTGCTGCTGTGGGCTCGCTGCACTATCCTGAAGATGTCCTGCTCTTGAATTGACCGCGGCAGGCCGGAGAGCGAGAGAGTAACGAGCTGCAGGAAACAATTCAAAAGTTTATTTAATTGGAAAAGAATTAATTTAAAAGTTTATTTAATTTAAAAAAGAAATAATCCAAAAAGTGTATTTAACTTAATTTAAATTGAAAAAATAAATCAAACAAATGCACGAGAGAAACATGCGCAGAGGCCCTAGGCCCTACGAGAGGCTCGTGAACTCTGTTGCTGCTACTGCTGCTGTTGCTGCTGCTGCTGCTGTTGCTGCTGCTGCTGTTGCTGCTGTTGATGCTGCTAGTGCTGCTTCTCGTGCTGCTGCTGCTGCTTCTGCTAGTGCTACTGCTCGTGCTGCTGCTGCCGTTGCTGCTGCTGCTTCTGCTGCTGCTGCTAGTGCTTTTCTTTGCTGCTGCTGCTAATGTGTTTGCTGCTGCTGCTGCTCCTGCTGCTGCATGGAGCTGCGTGCTCTAAGTTCGGCATTACCTGCACGTCGTCTTGCTGCTGCTGTCTGCTGCTGCTGCTGCTGCCAGCAACACCCTCTGCAAAAACCCTGCTCTGGTGGTGAAACTGCTGCCCTTTTCCTGCTGCTGTCAGCTGCAGCAGCTCGCGCCGCTGCTGCGCAGCAAATGAGGCGTCAGCAGGCTGCTGCCGCTGCAGCACAAAAAGCACAAATTAGTGAAGCAAATTTTATAAATAGTTTAAACTAAAAATTAAAATCATTTCCAGTAGTTCTTAAGGCTAAGGTGGAGGCTGAATAAGCAAGCAGGCGGTGCGTCCGGCGGTTGCTGCTGCTGCCTCTGCTGCTGCTGCTGCTGCTGCTGCGGCTGCTGCCACTGCAGCTGCTACTGCTGCGGCGGCACAGGCGTGGCTGCTACGGTATGCAAATAAACAAGCAGTGTCTGGGTTGCGTGCTAAGCCACATTAGCAGCAGCTAGTCGAGGCAGAAAGAGGTAAGAGCAGCAACAAACTGCAGCAGCACCAGCACCAGGAACTGCAGCAGCAGTAGCAGCAGCAGCAGAAGCTTCAAGGGGGCTTACAGCTCTCGAAGTCGGCAGCGGTGGCAGTGTGCCCATGTCTATGGCGGACCTCATGGCCCTTTGAAATCTGCGAATAACAAGCCGCAAACGCTGCTGCTGCTGCTGCTGCTGCTGAGCTGCTTCTGCTGCTGCTGCTGCTGTCGGTGTTTGTACTGCGCTTGCTGCTGCTGCTGCGAGCACTCCTGCTGCTGCTGCTGTTGCTGTTGCTGCTCCTGCTGTAGCTTACCGTTCATGAGCCGTTATATCTGTCTTGGAGGCCAGAGAGCGCTGAGTATCTGGACATCCTTCTGCTGCAGCCGCAGCAGGAGCAGCAGCAGCAGGAGGAGCAGCAGGAGCAGCAGCACGGGGGTTGGGTGTTTCTCTGCCAAAGAGGTCAGAGAACTGCGGGTTCGAAAGCTGTTGCTGTCTTCTGTACTTATCTGCCTGCAGCAAGGGGCAGCAGCAGCAGCAGCAGCAGCAGCAGCAGCAGCAGCAAATCAGCTTATCAAGCAGCTTCCTTATTTCGGGATTCTCTCTTTCTGCTTTTCTTGCGGTGTATGTACATCGCCACGCTGCAAGCATGCTGCACTTATATGCGAATCTACGAGGCAGCAGCAGCAGCGCAGGCGGCAGCAGCAGCAGCGCAGGCGGCAGCAGCAAGAGCACAAGCGGCAGCAGCAGCAGCACAGGCGGCAGCAGCAGCAGCACGGGCAGCAGCTGCAGCAAAAGCAGCAGTAGTTACAGCAATAGACTACCGGAAGGGCAGCAGCAGCAGAGGCAACACGAGCAGCAGCAGTAGCACCAGCAGCAGCAGCACGAGCAGCAGCAGCAGTCCTTACCTCTTTATTGATAAGGCAGCAATCGTTGGTTCGCAGCTGAGGTGTATGTACACTTGAAGTATCATTGGGCGACGGAGGCCCAAATATGCTGCTTTGGTTTTGCAGCAGCCGCCGCTCCCTCGCGCTGCAGCAGCAGCTGCTGCTGCTGCTGCTGCTGCTCACGCTGCTGCTGCTGCTGACCGCAGAACGAGGCGTGCTGCAGCAGCTGCCCTCATCTGACCGCCTAGAGCTGCTGCAGCCGCAGGGGCCCCCATGGGGGGCCCCCCGGGGGGCCCCCGAGCTAAACCATTGACAGTCTCCTGGCAGCAAACCCCCAGACCCTGAGACGCAGCAGCAGCAGCAGCAGCAGCAGCAGCGTGGGCACTCCCAATGCACACGGCTTGGGACTCTTGCTATTGCAGCAGCGAAAACTTGCACGCCCTAAACCCTAACCCCCCAACCCTAAACCCTAGACGCTAAACCCTAAACCCTAAACCCTAAACCCTAAACCCTAAACCCTCATCCCTGAAGCTTGGACTGACCAACGTAATGCTTTCTGGGCTCCGTTTTTTTGCCCATAAGACTGAGAGGAAAAGGAGCCTCCTGCTCCTGCTGCTGCTGTTGCTGTTGCTGCTGCTGCTGCTGGGGGCTGCTGCTGCTGCCGCTGCCGCTGCTGCTGCTGCTGCTGCTGCTGCTCTCCGTCACAGGCAAAACTGCCCCTGTGCTGCGCAAAGAGTCCAAAAGCTTCGCCCGGCTGCTGCGGCGGTCTTCTCGCGGCTGAAATGGGCCGCAGCGGCTGCTGCTGCTGCTGCTGCTGCTGCTTCTGGGCATGTTGTAGCAGCTGCCGTAGACGCTGCTGCTGCTGCTGCAGTCTGAGCCTCTCGGCGAGGAGATGTAGGCGGGCGCGTGGTCCGGGGAGCGCCAACCTGCTGCTGCTGCTGCTGTGCCTGCTGCTGCTGCTGCTGCTGCCGCTGTTGCTGCTGCTGCTGGAACAGCATCTGTGCTGCCAGCAGCAGCAAGGTCCTCGCTGCCGCATATGTGGGCGTGGTGCTGCTGCTGCCGCTTCTGAAATGCTGCTGCTGCTTCTCTCTCACTGAGCTGGTAGTTACGCCCGTAGGAGCTTCCAGCCGCGCGCTGCTGCTGCTGCTGCTGCTGCTGCGGGTAGTAATTGTAGGGCTGTTGGCTGCAGGGGTTGTGTGGCTGCGGGTACATCTGATGCTGCTGTTGTTGCTCGGCCTGCTGCAGCTGCTGCAGCTGCTGGTGCTGCTGCAGCTGCTGGTGCTGCTGCTGTTGCAGCTGCTGCTGATGCTCATTGGGCTGCTCCTGCCTGCCGTTCAGGAGCATCTGCTGCTGCTGTTGGTCCTGGTGCTGCTGCATCTGCTGCCGCTGCAGCAACTGACTCTGCTGCTGCTGCTGCTGCTGCTGCGATAAAGGCAAGCCCTGAGCGTCATAAGACAGGTGGGTCGCTCCCCTGTAAGAGTTTTGCTGCAGCAAAGGGGGCCCTTCATCCATCCTGCAGAATCGGTGGTTGTTGCTGCTGTTGCTGCAGTTGCTGCTGTTGCTGCAGCAGCTGCTGCTGCTGCACGGAGGAGGGGTCTCGGGCCCGCCAGACATGTCTGAGGGGCACCTCTGCGCGTTGCTGCTGCTGCTGCTGCTGATACCGTAGGGAAGCTGCAGCTGCTGGGGGCCCCCCTCAGGCCCCAGGGGCCGCTTGAACCCCTGAAAGCCCGGGGCCCCCGGGGGCCCCTGCCCCCCTTGGGGGCCCTCGGGGCCCCAGGGGCCCTGGGAGCCCTGGGGGCCCTGGTGCCCCTGGGGGCTCCAGGGGCCCCCGGGGCCCCCGGGGCCCGCGGGGCCCTCGGGGCCCCCAGAGCCCTGGGGGACCCCAGGGCCCCGGGGGCCCCAGGGGGCCCCCCCAGGGGGCCCAGTTCGGATTCTTGTGCCAGTGTTTGGGCTGGGGAGGGGCAGCGGCAAAGAAAGGGGAGGGCAAGCGGGGTTTGCTGTAGTGTTTGGGCGTGGGTGTAAAGGGGGGGGCTGCACGGGCATCGTGGCTAGCTGTGGCTAGCTGCAGCTAGCTGCTGCGCCGCAAAGAGGGGCCCCTTAAGACGAGGGAAGAAGCAGCAGGAAAGCGGAGAAGAAGGGGGGCGGAAGGGGGCCCTGCTGAGGTGTATGTACACCCGACCGCAGGCGACAGCGTGGAGGCCCGCGGGGCATCCGGGGGGCGATGGGTGAAGTCTGTATTTGCTGAAGTTTGGATTTGCAAGCAAATAAATTCATTAAAAAGCCAAGGACGAAATGAATACAAGCCTTGAAACGAAGACTGAGAACTACACCGGCAAGTGCAGCAGCAGCAGCAGCAGCAGCAGCAGCAGCTCATTGCGTGGGCAGCTGCTGCGTCCAGAGAACGTAGTGCAGCAGCAGGAAAAGTTAATCCTTCCGCACTTTTAAATACTAATTAATTTTTCAAATTTAATCGCCGGTTTTGTTTTCCACTTAGAGGCGTTTTCACACAGCATTTGCTGCTGCAGCAGCAGCAGCAGCAGCAGCAGGCGGCCGCAGCAGCACAGCATTGAAGAAGCCGTTCTCTGGGGATATGCTCCATTTTATTGTTTTTTAATTTTGTTTTATTTTATTTTTATATTTTTATCTTTTTGTTTATTTATTTTCCCCGAAGTTTCGTCCCAAACCTTCCTTTCGCATGCAGACCACCCCCAGCCCTCAGACAACCTCAAAACTTAAAAAATCCTTCAGCCGCAAAACCCTCAACTTTATTTGCTGCAGTTCTCTTCTTATTAATTCATTTTTAATTTATTTCTTTTTGATTTGCTGCAATTCTTTCCTTATTTAATTTATTTTTAATTTATTTCCTTTTTTAATCGTTCTTTGAAGACTCCCCTAAGGAGAACTCGGCAAAGAGGCCAACAGCTTTCTTCGACATCTGCTCGCCGAAGAAATAAATTAAAAATAAATAAATAAATAATAAATAAATAAAGCCCATCTTCACGCAGCTAGCTGCAGCCACCTGCAGCAGCTAGCCGCAGCTAGCTGCAGCTAGCTGCGGCCATATACAGCTAGCTGCGGCCATCTACAGCTAGCTGCAGCTAGCTGCAGGAGTCACCAGCTAGCTACGCTCACCTGCAGCTAACTACAGCCTGCAGTTTGCTGCAGCTGCATTAAGCTAGCTGCAGCTAGCTGCAGCAGAGTACAGCTAGCTGCAGCTTAATGCAGCTAGCTGCCGATTACGGCTGCAGCGAGCCACAGCTAGCTGCAGCCAAATTTGCCCCAGCTAGCCACAGCTAGCCACAGCTAGCTACTGCTGGCTGTAACCAGCCACAGCTAGCTGCAGCTAGCTGCAGCTTGCTGCAAATGGCCGCAGTTAGCTGCAGCAAGCTGCAAATGGCCGCAGCTAGCTGCAGCTAGCCACCAGCTAGCCAAGCAAGATTGACTAGCTGGTTTGGCGTTCCTTAGGGCTCAGTTGTTTATTTCTATTTCCACTATTTGAATTTATTTAATTTAAATTAATTTAATTTAAATTCATTAAAAAAACATTTAAACTTTCTCTTTTTCAATTCAGATCAGCCGATTTGTCAAAAGGAAAAAAGAAACGGTAGCAAGAGGGCCCCAGGGGCCCCCTGCTGCTGCTGCTGCTGCTGCAGCTGCTACTGCTGCTGCTGCTGCTGCTGCTGCTGCTGCTGGAGCTTTTGCTGGACCTTGAGGGTATTGTTGAGGTGTACAGACAGCGTGGCTGTAGGGTTTTGTTGGAAACACGTCAAGTTTAAAACAGCTTGATATTGTTTTATTTCTTTTAATCTTATTTTATTTCTTTCTTTGCTGCTGAGTTTTTTGGGGTTTGCTGAACCCAGGGGGGCCCCCCGGGGGGCCCCCCTGGCAGCAGCAAGTTCCTGCAGGGCCTCGCCCACGCCCTGCATGCTGTAGAGCGCGGAGGGCCCCTCTGCTGCT